TAGTAAACCAAAATGGATGGGGCTCTTTATTCTGCTGGATTTCTTGTATTTGCTTATTCTGAGAGCCTGTTGTAATCACTTCTTCTTCAAAACACCCAAAAAAGACTTGGCAATAATTTGCTTTTTTGGAACAAAATCGTTTCTTTTTGGCATCTAGCTCTCAGTGACCTCAACAAACTGTGTGAGATGCACAGGAAATGGGCCGGAGCCCCCTCCCTGATGACTAAACTCCCTCAAAGTGACCACTCTCCAGCCAAAGGCTGCATTGTAATTAACAGCACTCTTCTGAAGTGAAGTCAGTCTCAGATTGGTAAACTTTGTCGATAGTGACTGCTCCTCGAAATTTCTGCCGACCGACGTAATTTCCATTGAGTAAATAAACAGTTTCATTTCACCCTTTTTGAGCGTGATTCCCTCACCAGTCACAAACCTTCAGTATTTGGTTGGGTGTCTCTGCCTTGTGGTAATAGAGGAATCCGTCGTGAACCACGTGACCTGTCCCCTGCCAGTTGAAAGGCAGCCGCACCACCTTTGCTGGAGGAGTGGAAGCCTTCTCTGTGAAGCTTTCTATGGACACATACTCCAGCAGAGTGTCGTTACGAATCCCACTCATCAGGTACACCTGAAAGATGGACAGTAGAATATTCTGATTTTCTTTTCTTAACTACATAATTTGCCCACTTCTCAAAGTATCATAATTCGTCGTGTGGTCAATTAAATTTTAATTTCAGTTAAAAGAAGGGTTTTATTTAATTGCCAACAGTTTAATTCACGTTGATGAGAGAGCTGTGACAGATCTGCTGCAGGGTAATCATTCTGTCTTTGATTTTTGGACAGTTTTAACCTAAAAAATGCACTTTCTCCCACAGCTTCAGAATTATATAACACAAGATGCATCATTAGTTAACCCTTTAAAGCCCGATTCAAGAAAATTATGAAGAATATTGGATTTTTTTAGTCTGAAGTCTTTCTTTGGCCCCTCAACAACATATGAAGAAATAAAAACTTAAATTATTATGTTTTGATCAAATTAGCGTGCAATAAGTCAAAGATATATTTTGGTGTAGTCTTCTACTGGCTGTTGTCAGGTATATCTGAATGTGTACAACAGGGGTTTGAGCAAAGCTTTTACCACTGAATGATGCAAAAAGTCTCAGATCCAAAAGACTTCAGAAACCGTATGGATCAAATATGACACATTTTGCATTATTGGGTTAGGGGTATTACTCTGAAAACATTTGAATATCCATCAGTTAATGCATCTGAGACACTTTGCTCTTGTGAATAAAAACAGCTCATCCTGAACACTCATTGATTTCAGACCTTGGCTGAGCCTGCAGAGTCCTTGAACCAGGAACCAGATGGATCTCCGGCCTTCTTCACGATCTTCAGAGACTTGATTTGACTCAGAGTTGTGCTGCAATCTGGAGATGTTTGAGAAAGTATTTTTTACACCGAACATCTTGCGCCCTGTTTCGCATTTATTCCGTCTCTCTGGACGGGGATGTTTATCCCTTCCCTGTGGACACACGTTTCCCTACCGTTCTCCACTTTGATGGTGGCCCTCTTCTTCAGCTGCTCCAGCTCTGCGGCCATGATCTGCTGCTCCAGAAGAGCCTCCTCCATCTCGATATCCGACTGAGTGGGAATCTTGTTTTCCAGATATTCCAGCTCCCTCTCCATCCGGTCCACGCGCGCAGACACGGTGTCCATCTGGCTCTGCACCTCCGACCTGCAGAGCAAAAAGCAAAAACTCATTCAAAGTGGGCTTCGTTTCGTTGTGTTGCTGCTTATTTGAGACAATAGTTTTATGCGATTGGTTAAAAGAGGCTCACCTCAGAACGGTGAGCGTGGAAAGATAGCCCCGGATCTCGGAGGAGAGGTCGTAGGTCTTCTGGGTGACGCTCTGTGTGTTTTGCTCACACGTATTCAGACGCTCCTGATGTCGTTAACACAGAGAAAAGCTGGCATGACCGAGCAATTGCGGCAAGAAAATGAGAATTCTTCAGGGCAAATCAAACTTTGCAGAGATTCATTGAAATGTAATGAAACAGAACAATTAAAATTGTATTGAATGTTTTGTTTGTTTGAGTTAAAAAGCCCTTTAACGTGTTGAGAGAAAATATAGTTTCCTGTGGCCATAAAAGCTCTTGTATGTGCAGTTTGAAAATGTTTTTTTTAACTTTACTTCAAGATCTGATCCATATTTGTAACAAAGATACATTGCTGTTTAAAATCCAAACAAATTGAGACAAAATGACATGAGTTTTGATAAAGGTTTGACATGTAATGAAGAAATGATCTCAATAAAGGGAACAAATGTTGCATAGTGGCTCCACCTGGGTGTAAAACTTACCTTAAGCGGTTGAAAACACTATTTTTGCAGTCTTTTTTAATACAGTCTGACTCTTAAACATTTTAAAAACAAACCGAGAAAGCAGGTCTATCTGAGAACTGGGGACATAGGCTGGCAAAATGTCCCAGTCATATGTTTAAAGAAATGCTCATTCTCCATTATAGAAATAATCGTAAGAGTACATTTTTCACAGCCTCCGAAAACCCTGACTTTTTCCCACCGGTGGCCCCTTCTGGCCGGATAGTTCATAGTCTAAAGAGTCCGTTGGCCCACCTGTTCAGTCAGCATTAAAGCATTAAGTTCTCTGACTGTCCTCATCTTGAACTGCCCTGTGTTGACCAGCTGAGACAACCACGTACATCTCTTTTGAAACACAAACCTCACCATGTTTTGACTGCGTTCACCCTAAAAAACTCCAACATTTCAGCCCATCTCGTGTGAATGTGGGAGTTAAGGCTGGCCCACTCAGATTCTAATGACAGAACCCACTACAAAGCAGCCAGACGGCCGAGAGGAGGCCAGAAACGTTGCGGCCAGATGGCCGGAGCACGGTGCAAACATCAAAGGCCAACATGTGACTCATCCAAAAACAAAAGAGCGAATACTGGACAGCGTGTGCGTATCTGAGGTGGGTTTTTCTGACAGCGTAGTTAGGATTGATGTGACAAACCTACCTCCATCTGAGCCAGTCTCCTCTCCAGGTACTGGATTATGAGGGAATCCTGAGATGAACTCTGGCTCCGGACTGAACCCAGACCCAGACACAGGGACCAGAGGAAGAGAAGAATCGCCCTGCCGGACATTGTTCCTCACAATATTTCAACTTATTTCAAGCGTCTGGATAAATTTCTGCCTCTGAAACGATCTCAAACACTCCAGTGCCACTCCTTCAAGATCTCAGATCCAAGACTACGTCTTTGTAGAACGACTGGACTCGGTCATACTTTACAACAATCCAGCTCTTTCCAAGGCGGGTCTGGAGTCCTTATATGGAGGAGTTCTTTATCCCCTCTGCGTGAGGCTTGAATCCTGGACTTTTTGTCTTCCTCCTCCTAAACAGTTGTTGCTCAAGTGGGTTTTGGAACCAATTCATACTCGCACATGATCCCTCCCAGTTCCTATCGGCCTTTCCCTCCCCTTTCTGCAGCCTTCGTGCATCTGTGGTAGAGGAGAGAATGCTAATAGAGGAGGGGGAAAGAGAGACAAGGAGGGCTAAGAATAACCCAAGACAGTTATACCCTATTGCTCTGCCCAATGTTTTTTTTTTGCAGATGTAATACTGTCCAGATGGCTCATGGACACGTCCTCAGTTCTCCGGTCCATCAGTGCCACCCAGTGTGATTCACCCCAAAACCGAGTAAGAAACTATGTGGTTGATTTGCAAAACTACCAGGACTGTTTCCAGTCAGATCAGGTTTCAGAGTAGCTTTGATATCATCGTCACAGATAAAGCAGCATCCAAGCTTTTAAATATTTTCTGTTAACTGCCGTGCTGAAGAGATGATCTGAAATCCTTGAGGAAAAAAGTCCATCATGTGGTACAAACCAAAACCAACTGTTGGACTCTTCATTTGATGGTTTGGATTATTGCATCGTGCCATTTTTCTCCATCAAAAACATTGTAAACAGCTGCATTACAGACCGTTTGACCTAAACTTAGAACAGATGTCTTACTGTAAATCTAAATGGTTGAGAGAATGTCGGCCATGTTGTTTTTTCCACACGAGAGTCTCTCTGATTTTGGGCCAAAAAGTTGTCCCTGATTTGTGGAACATTCCTGCTTTGGCTGCCGTTTTTGGACATCTTTTTATCTCCAGCTGGTGTTTCTGAGAGCCACCTGGCGCGGTTTCAAAACTTCTTTGCACTGACAGATAACATCTGGCCGTCTCCTGTGAAGCTGGCCGATTTAAAAAACACGGATCTACTAAGTCGTTATAGAAACAAGACAGCGACGATGTGGAATAAGATGCTAGCAGCCCCACAGATCAACATGACTCTTCTTATTATCTTCACTGAGATATCTCAAACATCAGATGTGTCATTTTGGTTTGATGCACCACAGATACCAGCCACCAGATGGCGTCAAACCACAACACAACTCATTTCTTATTCCAATAAGCAGAAAGAAATGCAAATGTAAAAGAGGTGCTCCACTCAGATGAGTGACGGTTGATGTCAGATACAGTCAGGATGGCGGATAAGGAGGGGCAATACGGTGCTATTTCCAGAATGTGAATCAACTGAATAAATCATCTAACGATGGGAATCTAAGAGTGAGAGATCATAAATGACACTATAAGGTTATTTGAGGAGGAGTTTTGCTCCCTGATTGCTTTCCTTAATCGGCTAATTTTCGTCATTGTTTACTTCCTGAACTCTGGTTGAACCTGCTTTCATATTCCCTTCTTTTTTTTTCCTCTCTGGAGAATGAATAAATACGTTTTATTCGTTCATTCGATTTAATTTATTTTCATTTTGCTATTGATGTGAAAACAGACAGCTTTATGAAAACACAACTTTTTTTGAGCAGTTCACAGGAAGTTTTTCTACTTTAGTTGCTTGCAGTGGCTTTTTTTCTTTTTTCTTTTTTGGCTTTTCCAGTTGTCATGAAAATTTGTGGCAAAGTTTGGAAAGGTTGAAAAGCAGAGCGGGGCACATCACGGATGCTGACATGGTTTGTAGCACATATCCAGGGGGAAACACAACACTCAC